ACACATATGTACATATATATGTATATATATGTATATTTATACACACACATACAGAGAGAGAGAGAAAGGTATTCAAATATCTTTGGTTGCCAAATCAGATACTTTATATTCAAGAATATTAGTATTTCTGAGCTGAAGGTGTGGCTCAAGTGCAAAGCCCTGGGTTCAACCCCCAGTACTACCAAAAAAAAAAAAATACCATTACTATAACACACATACTTTCATGGGGTGACATGTGCTAAGAGGGGTAGATAAAATAAATATTGATGGTTTAGAAAGAAATATGAAAATTCTGAATTTTCATGTAATAATTTCTTCTAGTCACACTTAGTTCTCATGTGATTTATTACGCTTTTATTTTTTCTTAATAGTCACTATTAAAACACTTAAATAATTGGTTTTGTCACCTATATCTGGTCTGAGTAATTTCTAAAAGGAGGGGGAAAGTCTCCTATTGATTTGTTTTACACTATAGCCAAGAATCTAACCAAAGATGGGATCTGGTTAACTTCAAAGTGGAGACTAGATTTAGTAATGGAGGATTAAAGCCCCCAGTTAATCCAAAAAGGGCCGGTGGGCTTAGTTGTAGATAGGAAAAGGAATTCAGCTAGATTTTGGAAACCATTTTCATGTAGGCAGGCCAGCTCCTGCTTATCTAAGGCTTATCTAACTGGAGGCCGATGCACTGATGCAGTTAATGTAAGTTGCGAGTAAGAATGAAATGACAAAATGAAGTAAAACAAGATCATTTGGCATTGAGGGAGTAAAAATTAACTGAAGATAGTTAAAACTCAGAGTCTTACTATTTGAAATCAAGTCACATAATTGCACTCTGAGCAATTGGAACCTGGTGCATTGCTCAAGGTTGTCCAATTAGGTTGTTTACAAAGAAACAGTCAAGAGTGTTTGAGCCCAGGTAATCGTTTAGTGCATGCAACAATGACCAGCAGCTCAATTATTTGTAGCTTTGAAAAGTATGTTGGGCAAAGCTGTCTTTTGAAAATTGTTTTCCCTTGAAAAGTAACATTTAGGAGGACACAGGACATTGTTGGCTTGCGTTATACTGTTCCACATCACACACCTTATCAAAACCAACACCAAGGGTACATCAGCAGGCAACACAGGAGGAAATTTAGCAAACATTAGATTTTTTCGATTGATGCAGTGGCGTAACAAACAGCTCCAGAATGTAAATTCATTTTTATTTTTATTTTTTGGACAGGAAGAAGGGGTAAATTCTTCAAAGGAAGTGGTAATGTTTTCTTCCAAGGATTTGACAATCTCAGGAAGAAAAACATGACTTCCAATAAAAATTGGGAAAATAATCAAATGCTAGTGTCCTATGTCTCCAAAGTGCAGGTTCCAATGGCTTTTGGGCGATAGGATTCAAACAGGTAGCTGCAAGAGGAGAGAGGGCAGCCTACAAAAGACAGGAACCGCTATGAGATAGAAAAGAGAATTCAAAACAGCTGTGTTCTGTAATTTGGGGTACAGTGCTATTGCAGTGTTAGCAAGCTGAATACAGTTATCAATTACAACTGGATACCAAAAGAACCCTGATTCATGTCTCCGAGTTGTTTGCTTCCCGAAGCAAATAAATAAAAACCCTTTAGCCTAGCTTTTTTATTTCAGTCAGAAGTATGTTTTTCTTCCATGAAAGAATGAGAATTCCATAGGGAACAAATCGTTCATTATTCTCAAGTAAAGGTATTATTTGAAAAACTGGGAAGTCAAATAATGAGTGAAGCCAAGTACACTTGAGGCCAAATCAAGTGTCTAAGTAGTGGGAGTGACTTTTAAAAAATGAAAGAAGTTTAAATTTACAGAATTATAGCAAAGATAATACAATCCCTATAATTCCACCCCAAGTTTCTGTTACCGTTATTATTATTTTGAGACAGGATCTCACTAAGTAGCTCAGTTAGGCTTGGAATTCACTATGTAGCTCAGGCTTGCCTCAAACTGCACCCTCCTACCTCAGCCTCCTGAGTGCTGGGATTATGGTTGTGCACCACCACACCCAGCATTGTTTCCCTTATCGTTAACAGCATACTTTGTAAGATAAATTTGTCACAATGAATGAACCAGTAGATACATTAACTAAATTCCATACTTTATTCAGGTTGCCTTGGTTTTCCTTTATCACTGTTACTACACTTAGTCCTCATGACTCCTTAAACTGTGATAGCTTCAGTTTTGTTTTTCAGGACCTTGGCAGTTTTGGGTACTAGTCAGGTATTATGGAGAATACCCCAGCTGTAATTTGTCGTGTTTTTATGATTACACTGAGGTTATGTGTTCTGAGGAGGAAGACCACAGAGGCAAAGTTCCATTTTCATCACATCATATCGAGGGTACATATTATCAGCAGACTTATCACTGTTGCTGTGGACCTTGGTCACCTGGTGCAGGTAGTATTGACATATTTCCCCACCAGTTACTTGTCTACCCTCCTTCCTGTACAGTACTCTGTGGAAAGAAGTCACTATGTGCACCCCACACGTAAGAAGTCTCTACTAGCTAGGTTCCATTCTTGGACGGTGGACTACCTAGCAAAATTACTTGGAATTATTCTGTCAGATTTGTCTCTTCCCCTGCTCATGTTTGCTCCTGAGGGTATGGAGCTGATTTTGATCTTAATGTTTTGTCCCTTAGTGAAGTCCCCAGCACAGTTTTTTGGGGCACAGTAAGATGTCCCACGCAGACCTTACGCACATCCCACCCGTCTCCATTTTTCTAAGAACCCGAGTTCCTTCCACTGGTGAATGGTGTTAAGAAATTAAGATGTAGGTATTGCTACTGGATAAAGTCAGCTCTTAGGGAAATGGTGGTATACCTCATGGTAGAGCCCATGCTTACCCTACACAAACGAGGCCCTGGGTTTGATCCCAATACTGAAAAAAGAAAAAAAACAGCCAATTTTTTAAACCCGATTCTTTTTTTTTTTTTTAAAGGCAGATTAATTCTAAACATACTTTTAATTTATTTGTGTAAGATCTGCCACAATCAGACATTATTCACTTTCATTTTAAGTTATATGCAACATTAATTAGTTTATACATAATTCCATTTATCATTTGTGGGGAGATGGCATTGGGGTTTGAACTCAGGGCTTCACATTTGCTAGGCAGGTGCTCTACCACTTAAGCCACACCTCCAGCCTTAAACCCGATTCTTGTTTTGTTTGCCTCTCATAAAACATCCCAAGTAGCACAAGCAATGTTGGGTTAATGTACCAGATGTGGTGGTCAGAATTAGTATCCGCAAATTATGTTTCCCTTCATGCTTCTATTTTCAAAAATTAACCCCTATGTCTATGTCTCATTTTTGTAGCCCAGGCTGGCCTTGAACTTCCTGCCTCAGCCTGCAGGAGCTGAGATTACAGGCACACTTCACAATACCTCCGAACTGGTTTTTCATTCACTGCCCCGTCACACTCCTTAAACTGTGATAGCTTCAGTTTTGTTTTTCATTCAGGAATGGAATTTGCGAATAATCTTTGCTATGGTAGGCAAAGAAGAAAGGCACAACATGAATGTTTTAGGCACTTTTTATTTTCCAAAAAAAATTGTCGTTAATATATAAACATCTCATTCTCTCAAAAAATTCTGCAACTATACAGCTGTTTGCTCCATTATTTGCATAGGAAATGACCACAATACAAAAATAAGAGGGAAAAAGAAGCAAAACAGCAACCGACTTATGCTTTTATGTAGGTATGGGTCCACGTATAAACATTTCGAAGCCTCTTACAAAATTATGTACACCGTGTCATCTATTTACACGTTTTAAGAGCAACTTTTCTAACAAACAAAACTATAATTTATCAAGTTATGAAAATTGTTCTCTAAAAAAACTTACTATATTACCACAAAATAAATAATGATAAACAATATTTTAAAAACAAAATTAAATTTTCATTTCAATTAAGACCCCTTTTGGCATTTTGCTTATTACTCTGCCCTTTGGTTAACAGCGTGACATTAATTTTATATTGCATATTCGGAGCACTGGCTTCCTTAGCTTTCAACGTATCATTGATAGTAAAGGCAGACACTGAGTCAGTATGAAACAGATAACTAAGCTGCACTGTAATTTAGATAAAATTACTGTGTCTCACTGTATAGCACATGCAAACTCCACATAAACTGTCATTCACCAACAGTACTGCACGAGCGAACATCTTGGTACATGAAAACTGCATCATAAATTCAACATTGCTGTATGTGAAAACGACATCAGTCCTTCTTAAAAACGATACTGTATAGCTTATTGTAAGAGGTTTAACTTTTGTATATTGTAACTATCTTTAAGCTCTTGAGTTTACAATTCATATAAAACATCTTCCATATTTAAAATAAACAATCCTATTTTAATCAGTGCATGAAATTTGCTTTTTTTTTTTTTTTAGAGTTCATTTGAATGATTATTCCTTCCCCCTCAAAGAAATAAATTTGGTAACATTTTGAGAGGTACCTCACCCCAAATTCCAACTGTAAATGCATTCATGGTTATTTTCAAAAGAAGTGATTTTTTTTTTACCCCCAAAAAGAATCCTAAAAAACTTGTAATAAACCTATAAAGCTGATTTGCATATTTACAAAATTTTGAATAGCAAATATAGGCAACTCATTAAAAAAAAAAAAAAAAACCCACATTTGTTCAATGGCTATTTGTGAATTGCCAGGTACACTGCGTACCTCTAAGGACTTACCCAGTATTGACAAAAACTAGTCCAAGTCAAGCAAAATCTTGACATACCATCCATCCTTCTTCCTGTGCCTGCCAACTGCTGTTTATTAAACACTGTCACACTGAGCGATGGTGCCTGGGAGAAACACCCGCCCTCCCCGCTGAGATGAACCTGGTGAGTAAAGCCTTGTAGGTGACAGCAAGCGGTCCAGACCTTACAAGGACCAAACACTTTGGTATGGATACAATGTATTTCCCTGTTTGCTCAAATATACAAAATATACATTTCCAGTTTTTCCTTTTTTTTTTTTTTTTTTTATCTGAATAGTGAGTGTGTGGTTTAAGGGGTGCCGGGCGGCCTGCGGATCGCGGGGTGCACACGCTCAGTTCTGGTGCCTCTTCATGTGCAGCGCCAGGTGGTCGGAGCGCGAGAAGCTGCGGTTGCACACCGCGCACTGGAACGGCTTGGCGCCCGTGTGCTTTCGGTAGTGGCGGGTCAGCTCGTCTGAGCGCGCGAACCTCCAGTCGCAGCCTTCCCAGGTGCACTTGTATGGCTTCTCACCTGTAACGACCAACAAAGCGACAGAGAGGTGAGGTGGCCTGCTCCCAGACTGACATCACAAGAAAGAAAGACAGGCTCGTGGTGAACCTTAAGAGCTAAACTGGATAACCAACCCCTCAAGATCACTTGGTGCAGTCATTTCATAGAAAGGTATTTAACTCCAAATTATAGAAAGAAAAACCAAAGAATGGCAATTTGGGGCAAATGCAAAATCAGTGGCCTTATTTTTCTGTACTCCTGCACAAAGTGATTAGATGAACTCCAGCGGTTTTATCACTGTGCAAATACAGGTTCTATTCAAACACACAAATTGGATTAGTATAGGACTAATGGCTACACGGTGGACTAGATAGGACAAAATTCTGGAGCTGCTCAAACCACTCTGGCTCTGAATCCTATTCCACAGTCTGATTGAAACTGGTCCTACACATGTCTGGGAAAACAAAGCTAGAAAACTTTTAAAGATGACTGGCTTAAAGCTTTATGATTTTGGTATTTCATAAAATCCTTCAGCAGACCACACAGTCTGATAAATTCACATTGGTAAAGAGTCAGACCAGGGAAAAAAAAACCCAAAACCAAACAATTCTACCATTTGCTGATATGATATGGCTGTTATTTTTCTTTATCAAGTGTTGCAACAAAAAGGTATCAAAATTCATTCCATCATCAATTTTGCAAGTGTCTTGTATCTCAGGTACTGTACTGAATGTTTGGGATGTAACTGCACAAAACCAAAATGCCTGGACTCATTAGAAGAGGACCCAATCTTCCTACCATTTTTTGCACAGTTCCCTTCACTTGCACAGTGAGTTGATACTTGCAAACCTCCCACCCTATGATCTGTATTATTTTTAATGTCAAGTGTGCTAGCTATTGAAATTCCAAAACTACTTAGCATTAACAATGTAGTCTTAGTTCACTGTTTTAGAATGAATCCTGGTCAAGATACATATAAAAATCCTAAAACTTAAGTCTATTGCTGAGCACTAACTACTAGTTTCTACATTTATGCTTTATTTTGCCATACTTTCTATGAATGTTAATTTTTTTTAAGATGATAGATTTGCATATTAAAGAACTGTTGGCATACAAGCTGGGTTTTCCACGGCTACCTTCTCCCTAACTTCCTTTTAAAAGGTTTTCTTCTGAAAGGGAAGAATCTCACAGTTGCTCTGAACACTTTTATTTAGTACCAATGAAACTCAATAACTTTTCTACCTAATTTAGCAGTATCATATTCCAGAAACTGAATCTAAATTTTAAAAGACATTGTCCACTTAGCTGAGATTTCCACAGCTTGCAGTTAATGCATTGTTTTACTGTCCTGATAGCTACTCTGGTTCTTGACAAAGAAGAAAAGGCCAGGATTGACCGTGTGATACTGGTCCAATTACTTCCTGTGAGCATGAGACTTCACCTCACTTTCCTCTCCCTCTATTCTGGCTCTGACCTAGGACACACTTATTTTGAATTCCATTTTTGGTTCCTGTTGCTCCATTTTTAAAATTTACATCTCAGCTAGGCGTGATGGTACACATCTGTAATCCCAGCACTTGGGAGGCTAAGGCAGGAGGATCGGGAGTTCGAGGTCAACCTGGGTTACATAGGCAAGGCCCTATTTTTCAGAAAATAAAATAAAATGCACATCTCAATTCAGGATTGTTTTTTCTCATAGTAAATTCTATCCGGAAAGTTCAGCTAACATACTGTGTCTTATAAGTAACACACTTTTCTTTCACTTACATTCACAAATAATGTTTGATTTACAGAAATATTTTAGTACTAGTAGATAGTTGTAGCTCTCCTGTTTGTAGATGTAACTCAAACAGGGAAAAAAGTACACAGAAGTGTTTGGTTTTGTTTCTTATGGAAATGAATCACAGAAATAAACATATTGGGTAAATACATTACTGTCATTTAATGGAAAAAGAAGGCTATTTCTAATGTCTAAGGCAAGAGAAAAAAACTTCCTAAAGAACCCCAATTTTAAAAGAAATCATTTTAGTTTTTTGCATTTAGTAACAAAATAGCAGAACTGAATTTTCAGAGTTTACTTAAGAAACAGGGGACACTAGACTCTTTTTGTCCGCTATTTTTACTGGCTACTAAGCAATAAACTGCACCAGTATTTTTCAAAGTTTACTTTACTGATTGGTTGAAATACAGTAGCCATTAAAGTTCCTAAAACATTTGGGGTTTTGCTCAACTTATGTGCATCTATAGGTTATTCAGCCAAGAATACTCCCAGTGTCTGAAACCGTAGTTACTGGGGCCAAATCTTACTATAAAAGCAAGGACAACTATTCCCCACTTTGGGCAGTTTCTATGGGATTTGTTCGTGTCAACACTGTTCAACTAAAACATTGTAGAGGAAGCTGGTACCCAATTTCTGGCCAAACAGCAGACTTGAGCCTTTTTTCTTCAGCCAGAAACACTATACACAGTACTTCTGGGAAACCAAACTGACTTCCTTCAAGTTATATTTCAACAGGATAGAGCTTTCAAAAGTTTAATTGGATTTTTACAGGATCTCTTTCCAATACCACCAATTTAAAATGTTTAGTTAAGCTCTTTCAACATCAACTGTATTTTTAAGTTCTCATGCTGCTAATGTGAAACTTTCCAAAGCAAAGAGAAAAGTGACAAAGTTGTTCGCCATGGAAAAGGATCTTCAACTTTTATCTCAAAGTATGAATATTCTTATTCTAACTTTAAAACTATAGACAGTTTGCTAAGAATCCCTAACCTGAAAAAAAAAGTTCAAGTTAAAAATGCACATTACCCCTCAGTGATAAAGCCTTTAACCTATTTTATAAAAATGTCAAGCAGAAGCATTAGCAGTACTTTTACTTTGAAGAGGGAGCACACACAAATCTTCCCTGAGCGCACCTCCAGGGCTAGGTACTTGTCACTGCTTACTCCTCTCCTCACTAAGGCGCCTTGAGCTCCTGCTCACCACTTTTCTTTAATGTCCCACTGAAATCTTCCATTAGCAAACACTAATACACTGTTTTTGAATGATTTAAGGAACGCATACATGTTGCTCAAACTTACTTAGCTCCTAAAAAGCCACTGTGTAGGGTAAGGACTAGCTTAATGGACTCAAAGCAGTCAATCCCCAGACTGTAACGCCCAAGAGCACACCATAGCTGAGCCAACCCTCTACAGAGATCCACTTTTTGGGGGCTGGAGGGAAAGGCATCCTGAAAACTGTTCTATGCTAGCATCAGGGTTCCTTTCTTCCAAATTAGGTGAGTTTCAGTGGGTTAGCAGAATGTTTGTAAAGTATTCAGAAAGTCTTTAGCAAGAAACTAAAACATTATCTATTTTTCTTCTCTGATGAACAGATAAAAAAATGACTTTTGAACCTATCACAATGGAATGGGAGGTTTCTCTGCTCTGCTGAGCATATTCAACAGACTCATACCAAGGTCTTTCTCTAGAATGTTCTACATAGATTCTTCTAGCAAAAGAAAAAAAATCTGGGCCGGGGATGTAGCTCAGTGGTAGAGCACTTGCCTAGCATGCATCAAGGCCCTGCAAAAGAAAAAATTAGGAAAAAACAAACAAAAGAAAAAACCCTAACAAAAAGAAAAAAGTCACAGAAGGAAGTATTTGTTTTAGGACAGTCACATTAGGTGACTTTTCCAAAGTTTATTACAGCAAATTTGTACATCTGTTTCCTTCCTGATGACTAAAAGACAATCCAATCAGTAACAGCTGATAAGGATAAAAGCTAAAAAACCATCAGAATTAAAGCCAGTACTTATTAAGAGGTCTGTACTAAATGCCTTGCAAAGCACAAGTAAAACTTGGTCTCTGACCTCAAAGAACGCCAATTAATATTTTTCCCCCATCATCACAGACTTATGGAATTTAGAGTCTCTGAAATAGACTCCATATTAGATTTGCTACTAATAAAAGGGATTGCTTTTAATAAACAAAAATTTATGGGAGATTATTTATATACCTGAGAAAATTGATAAAGTGGGATGATTTGAGCTCACTAATTCCTATTTTTATACATCTATGTCAGTGATTTTCCATTTAAAAATTTCATTTTGCTCATCACAGTAGAATCCAACTACAGAGAAAGTTTCATTTTAAGAGTCAGGCTAACATTTACTAGGTATAGTACCCTTGACATATCAGTAATGGGCCCATTTTGAGGAAACTGATGTAAAAGCTATATTAAGAAATTCCCTTCTTAATCACATGTATCGAATTATCACTTTCTTTAAAATATGATTCATCATCCCCTTCTAGAAAAGGCCTGGCAGACCATGGGAGATCATTCCTGTCTCTATCTCTGTCAATTTATTTTGAACCAGTCTGGGTGCAGCACGGGGTTCAAATGCACATTACTGATCACCAATTTGCACTTGCGCACAGATTGCTTGCTCAAGGCTAAGTTGTGCTTTGTCTTCAGACTGCCCTTGGAAGATCCCCAGGGTCAAAGACTGCCATCTATTCCTGCTGTGCTGCCACACCTTTCCTAAGGCCTCTCTGAAACTTGTTTGGCCCAAGTCTGACCTGTTTTTTTCATAATGAAAACAAGGGAAGGCAGAAGAAGCCAGTGTGAGGATTTTCCTTGCTGGGACCACTAAGGGTAATCTGACTGCATGTCTATTGGGGTGAGAACCACATTTGGAGCCTCTTCAAGAGAAAATATTCGAATCACTTACTATCCATCCTTAAGTTGTAGGGAGATAAATAAAATTCTAAACAAATTTTCTTTTATAGAACTGGACTGACTAGAGGAAAACAAATTCTGTAGCCTATAGTGCTGGCCAAAGGCAGCAGAAGTTGGGGGCTTCTTCTTTTTAGCAAGAGAACACTGTTCTGCTGAACCAAGGGCTATACTTGCAGGTCCCATCCAAGCAGAGTGAGTGTCTCTGGTCTCCTAAACTACAGCTCTCCCCATTAACAGGGTTAATGAAATGAAATACCAATTCTTGAGTCTCCTGACTCAAGACTACATTCAGATTTACTTTCTT